AGGGGAAACCCCCCCCTTCCTCTCCTTCCTCTCCTTCCTCTCCTTCCTCCCCCTTCCCTCCTCCCCCCTTCCAACCCAGGACAAAACAAGAGGGGGGGGAAGGGGGGGGGGATATATCTAAGAGAATAGAGAGAATAGAAAGAAGAAAGGAAAGTAGAGAGGAAAGTAGAGAGGAAAGTAGAAGGGAGGGGAGAAATCTGACGTGTTCGGTCGTGCTCCGCCCCGCGCTGACTTGCCAAAAGAAAAAAAGCCGTACAGCATGACTGTGCCGCTCCTTGGACGGCGACGCCTCGTGGTCCGTGTGGACAGGTGATGATGACCGAGATCGAATGGTCGGTCTCCTTGTGTCACGTAAGACTACGGACATTGATGAGTCTTATTTCGGCATTCCGTACTGTGTGGGTGAGGTCGTCTATATATTGTACCTGTATGGCTGGTAGATGCGCTTGCTTGTAGCATCGGCATCGTGGGATAGAACCCCTGATGCGTCATAGTCGTACGGTCTAATCATCGGACAGTCAGCCACTCCATCTCTCTCTCTCTCTCTCTCTCTCTCTCTCTCTCGCCTGCGTCGGCGGCGCACATATGCGCGCGCAGCATTATTGCATATCGGATTGCTTCCGACATGGGTGATATCTATTACGACCACTACCGGCATTGAGAATGCTCTTCTATCACGAGATGGATTTCGGCTGTCATGATCGCGATACCACTGCGTAGAGGCCTGGATAGGGAGGGAGAGCAGGAGAGAGCGGGAGAGAGCAGGAGAGATAGTCCGAGAAGGATAGTATAGTATTACTAGTGTCCTCCCCCCTCCCCCCCTAGCGTCACTGTGCCGGCACCGTACAGGCGACTTCCGACGTGGTTGACGTCTTTCGCCGTCGCCATCAGACACCTGCTCGTACTCGTACAGCGTGCTAGCCTCCGGTGGTCATCGGTTTCGAGATCCATAGGGACTGTCGTCTAGCTGTCTGGTAGCTGGAAGCTGCAGCGTTCAGCATCGTGTCCCACAGCAGACAGCTCCATACGCGGTATCCTGTACCCGCCTTCGACGCCACGTCCTTGGTAGTCCAACCCCCGATGAACCATGCCGGCTCGTAAGTCACAGGTACTATGCACGTGGTGACCCACGACTCCACGCCCACGATGCTGGTCTAGGTAGGTGCTCGCAGAGTACTGGTAGGTAGGATTGATGGAAATTATCTGGAGGGAAAATCGAGCCATTCGATCCACTCCGCTCAGTCGTCGTATCCGTACCGAGCAATGCTCCGTAAGACGAGAAAAGGTACGTGCGTGCTGTTGCTACTGCTACTCCGTGATGGTATTAATATGTCACGGGATGAATATTGGCACTCTCACCGGTGGAGGAGGACAAGGTCGGCACTTGACATCTTCTCTTGCAAATTGCCACGAACAGGTAGGAGTCGTGTTCCCCCCCCCNGGGGGGGGTATCAATGTAATCCAAGGATGAATATGTGCCGGTTGGGCACTGGCGATGGTCGGTGTCGTCAACAAACGTACGAGAAGGTGTGACGACAGTAATCTGTACAGATTATGAGTGCTGGTATGATTGTATCATTACCTGTCGGCATGGAATACCACGGATTACTTCAACCCTTGACATTGGAAATTCATGCGAACCGCTTTTCTCGTGCATAATGCAATGATGATATAGGTACGGAGCTACATGCACGTGCACACGCACTCCGTAGTCGCTGCGACTCTGCGAGCAATAAATACCATAATCGTATGCAATCTGTTCGGAGCAATACTAGTAAGTTATAACTACCAGCAGCCGTGAGTCCCATTCTCCCCCTCCCCGCCGCTTTGCCAAGCCCTGCTCTCTCTCTCTGTGTGTGTCTGTGTCTGTCTCCCTTCTCCTGACACTATCGAGGCATTGCAGCTGCCATACATGTACTCCGTGTGATCTGTACATGTGCTGCATAATACTGCCTGCATCACGACCAACTGCGTGCTCGTACCGGTACCCGTCCTGGTACGAGTACCCGTAGGCTGTGATCCGTACGGAGTGCGGACTACTACCGGAACGATGAAAGGGTAGGGTGCAGGTAGAGAGTAATAATACAGGTAAAGGAAGTACCTATCACAGGTACAGAGTTCACGATACTCCCTTGCGAGTAATCTGTACACGCGTACGAGTACCTGTTACCCTCCGCGGACCCGGCAGGGTGGCCCGGTATGTCGACAGATATGCATACCTGCTATCCCAGAGACCTGACCGTTGGAAACTCGGAAGA